TCTTTGTATAATAAATATTTACGAGAAATATCTTTTTTAGTTTCGCTAATTTCTGAAAATGACTTTAAAGATTTCTTTGATAGCCTGGGTAATAGATTCCTGGCAGGAGGCGACTTCAACGAAAAGCATACGTACTAGGGATCACGCCTTATTAACCCAAAAGGGCGGCAGCTATACAATACCATTATAAACAGGCACAATAGACTAGAGGTCACATCTCCTGGTAAACCTACTTACTGGCCCACCGATATAAAGAAGATACCAGACCTAATAGATTTCGCAATTACAGAAACATATACAGAAATAACATAACGGCAGAAACTCTACCTGAACTATCATCCGATCACTCCCCTATATTAATAAAACTATATGAACAGACCCAAAATATCGAAATTGAGCCTCGTCTAACTTCAAGTAACACCAACTGGCTTAAATATAAAAAGTACATCAGTAGTCACCTTAAATTAAACGCTGCACTTAACTGCGAGCGTGATATAGACTCCCTTGTTGAACATTTTAAAGAAACCTTTACTTCAGCCGCTGCCCTGGCAACACCAAATCAAGTCCAAGTACCACCTACGCATACATCAGTTACAAATACCGAAATAGAAAAACTTGTGGCAGAAAAGCGACGCCTAAGAAGACAGTGGCAGAGCCATCGCTCACCAACCTCACAGCTACTGTATAAAGCTGCCAGTAGAAAATTGAAACAAGCACTCAAACGTGCAGAGGATCGCAACTTGCAAAGGTACATTAAGAAGCTTTCCCCGAATTCTACTGAAAGATACTCTCTATGGAAATCGCTAAAATACTTCAAACCATCAGTGGCTACAGAAATGCCAATTAGGAACCAAAGTGGAACCTGGGCTCGCAGTGAGCAGGAGAGAGCCGAGTGTTTTTCACACCATTTAAAGAATGTGTTTCAGCCAAACTGTCCAACGAACAACTTCAGGCTGCCACGGCTAACCAAAAATACAAATGAGCTATACACACCTAGCAAGACGAACCCTTTAGAAGTAAAAGCTATAGTAAAGCAGCTTAATCCAAAGAAATCGCCGGGTGCTGATTTTATAACTCCGAAAATGCTAATAGAGCTACCAAATGTTGCACTAGCAATTCTTTCTGACCTTTTCAACGCTATCCTCAAATTCGGTTACTTTCCGAAATCATGGAAAAGGTCGAAGATAATCATAATAGCCAAACCTAGAAAAGACGCAACACAGCTCACTGCCCTGTCTTTCCAAAGTATTCGAGAAAGTACTCCTATCAAAGATATCTCCCTTTCTCCATGAACGCAATTTAATACCAGCACACCAATTTGGCTTCCGAGAAAAACATGGTAGAATTGAACAAGTTAGTCGAATTACAAATGAAATCAGAAGGGCATTTGAGCTCGGAGAGTACTGCTCTGGAATTTTTCTCGATGTGGCACAAGCATTCGACAAAGTGTGGCACGGCGGTCTTATATATAAAATTAAAAAATTGTTGCCGCCGGAATTCCATAAAATATTTGAATCATACATAACTGACAGAAAATTTGCTGCTAATGTATCTAATTTCACTTCAGAAGACATGTCGATAACGGCTGGCGTTCCTCAAGGTAGTGTACTCGGGCCTATGCTGTATATCATCTACACTTCAGATATTCCAACTAGCGAGAATATACTCACATCCACCTTCGCTGATGATACCGCCTTAGTAAGTCGTAATAAATGTCTCAACAGAGCTTCAAGAGTACTAGAGGAACATTTACTAGGCATAGAAGAATGGCTGGCAAACTGGCGTATAAAAGTCAACGAACAGAAGAGTAAGCATACAACATTTTCACTCAGACCGCAAGGATGCCCCCCAATCAAATAAATAATGTCCATATTCTACAAGCCAATGAGGTGACATATGTAGGAATACACTTGGATAGAGACTAACTTGGCGAGAACACATATCAACCAAGATTACACAAATGAAGCTAAAGTCAGCTAGCGTGAACTGGCTTATAACAGTAAATCAAAACTGAAACTAGATTATAAAGTACTTGTATATAATACAGTGACTAAGCCTATATGGATGTATGGTATTCAACTGTGGGGTACGACCTGTGCAACCAACATTGACAGGATCCCAAGATTCCAATCTAAAACGCTAAGGGCCTTAACAGGAGCACGGGTATGTCCGCAATGAAAATATACATAGAGACCTTGGTATACCGATGGTTAAATCTGTAATCGACAGCAGCAGAGAAAAATACAAAATAAAACTGCGTAACCACCCAAATCCACTAGCAAGTGGCCTGTGCAACACAACAAATATAACACGCCTGCGAAGAAGAGATCTACCAGCCTTTCATTGAGCGACGTTAAACCAACAGGGCTCAACCCCAGGGTTTGAGCTACATTATTGTAAAATTATACGTAAGATTTTTAAACTTGTTGTTAGGCTTAATAGATGTAAAATAAGCAGATCCAACAAATAAATGCAACTATAATTAAAAAAAAAATTTTTTCATTCAATCATATTCGTCTTGAAATAAGACGACAAATTAAAAGCCCATCTAATTATTATGAGAAGACGTAAATCATATTCGTCTCGAAATAAACGTCCGGAGAGACGAAAAAAAATATTAAGCCCATATAATTATTATGAGAAGACGTCAATAATATTCGTCTTGAAATAATCGTCCCGCGAGACGAAAACAACTTTTCCATTGTTCAATAATAATTATGGAGCAATAATTAACTTTATTTCTTATAATCGTTATGGTCTCTGAAAAAAACGCATATGAAAGAAATATAAATTTAAAGAGCCACTGTGTGCTAAATAAGAAAAATTTTATTGCATTATCGTACTGTGCTATAAAAATATTTAGTGCGTATCCCGTGCCTTGATTCTGTTAAAAAATAATTAATTAAAGAAAAAATTTACATTTACTCTTGCATTGAAATGGACGCCTTAATAATATCCCAACGGTTTTTACCGCATGACGTACGGAACCAGTATTTTCAATTTTTGCGCCGAGTCACGAAGACAGGAGTTTGTTCAGTGTCGAGATCTAAAACTGTTCAGCTACAGAACTAAATTCATCAGCCGATTTTATGTCTTTATTTAAATGATTCATTTATTGAGAGAGGACAGTATCGATTTCTTAATGCTGAGAAGCGGATCTGATATATCAAACGTGCTAGAATGAGAGTTAATAAGAACGGAGTGGGTCGTGCAATTCAAAATTAGTTTTACAAGCTTTCAGTAAATCAACTCAGCTCGACGTTCTGATCATATAAGTATACATTTTCATGGGTCTATCTCTTTTTGTTCTGGTACTTACAAACATCGGACCAAAGTTATAATACCATTTCATGCTCATGAAAGGTATAATAAAAAAGAGAGAAATAAGCGTCGAAACGGGCCAATGCCAATTTAAGAAATTCCCATTTTTGCTTTTTTTCCTCAATCAAGATGGTAAGACAGTTTACTTTTAATATCTAGCGTTTGCGGCCTTAATATTTACAATTACTACTCCCCGCTGGTCACTATTGAACATGGGCGTGGTTGGATTCTGAACCGACACTTCAGTTTAGTCCATATGGTCGACCTTAACTACTTCAATATGGCTTTGGAGAAATTGATCGAGTCAACGCAGCACGAAATTAGACGCGAAGCTGTGCGTACTGTGCTGCAATTCCACCTAAACCAAACTAAGCTGCGACTTGACGATCTGCAAATAAGTAAGTCACGAAGAAGACGTTCCTTTGACTGGATTGGATCTGCATCGTGCAGGCGTGCCAAATGGCAAAATCTGGTATCATAAACACAAACTTACTTGATCGAGATGAGGTACAAAGACTTTTAATAGAAGAAGATTNCAGCAGATTGGGATTACATCCTCCGTAGCATGAACGATGTTGTAGTAAATAATAACCACCAGTACCGCGTCAATGAAAAGCTCTTCAACGTTACCCGTGGAGCGATTGTGAAAGCAAATGAAAAGATGCTACACATCAACGCCATCAACAAAAATATTAGCTAAGAGAATTTGGAGCTTCTGCACTTTAGCAAAGTGCTAATCCTGAAGGAACAGGTATCAGAGATCGTGCAGGCGTGCCAAATGGCAAAATCTGGTATCATAAACACAAACTTACTTGATCGAGATGAGGTACAAAGACTTTTAATAGAAGAAGATTGGCAGGCATATCAAAGTACCATCGGAGCGGCTTCCGTGTATTCAAACAGTAGTATCCTTTTGTACATACTATCAATACCAAAAGTCAAACCAGATGGCTACCGACTTTTAACAACAAGCGCTGCTGTCATGAGGGGACAACACGTTGAACTTAGTTACAAGAAGATGCTGGTAAACAAAGAAGAAACGTTCGGACTGAACGAGGATTGTCCTTCGATTAGCAATACAACAATCTGCTCACCCAAATCTTTAAAGAAAAACTTCCTGAAGACGGATGCCTGGCTAGATTAGTGAAGGGCGGCGATGCTAAATGCCACTTTGAACCAACAACGACGTAATTGCTGAAATGATCGCCGATGCAACAATATTTACTATAAACTTTCAAGGACCATTGAAGGGGAGAAACTGCTCCGCGGTTCTCAACGGAACATACGTTATTTTATTAAATAATGAAACGGTCATGGTGGGAAATCAAACGTTCACCAGCAAATCAGTACGCACAGTGCAGGCTTTGCCACCCGCTTTGGTAAACGTTACAATTGATGGGCTGAATTTAAATCTGGATTACATCCACGGGCTCAACATAGAAAATATTCACCATCTAAACCAACTTGGTAATAATTTTCACTTCTCCTTAATTTGTGACGCTATTGCCTTGACAATCCTGGCAGCCGTGTGCTACATCATCTGGAAAAAACTTACGAGTACAATCAACTTTCCTAGGCTAAACCAACAACAGGATCAGCCAACTACCCACACCAAAGATCCTCTTCAAAAATCGATTCATCAGCGGGACGCAGATGTTTAAAGGGGGGTAGTTAACAAGGGGGCCAACACACTTACTAATGTGAATGTGCTGACGCCGCACTTCGTCAAACACGCGCGTAGCCAATGCAGGTAATTGACCTGCAACGTAAGCGATACCAATTGGTTTTATGCAACCAAAATGCAAATCGTGGGAAGCGCAACGTCAGCAACTAATCAATTAATTCGGGCCGTTAGATACTTAGCGATAGCTTTAAGTAATATTTTGTATTCATTATTATCCTTAGGGAAACCAACTTTAATTTTTTCGGACACGCTCCGCGTGTTCGTTAATTTATATACTAATTTAAAATATAAATCATGTATATACGAAAACAAAAATTTCNATCCGCGTGTTCGTTAATTTATATACAAATTTAAAATATAAATCATGTATATACGAAAACAAAAATTTCCCTCTCCACTTTCCCCTTAACAATTCACAATAGTGCAGTTTTTCACTTATAAACACTACCCTTTCGGTCGCTTATTTTTTAACCGACCTTGCTGAGCTCGGGTAAATAGCCGAGTTTGTGTTGTTGCTTTGCATTTATTTCATCATTTAAGCGAGTGTTCTTTTTTAGCTCGGTTGCAAAAGAATGCACCTATTGACGATCCACCACAATTCATTTCTACAACTACGCATGATATGTTACAGGCCAAACCCGATCTTAGGACAAACTAGTTTTTCCTAGGCTGAACTAGTTGGCGTGGCACAGTGTTTTTGCGCGGAATACCTTTCCGTGTAGTCGGCCTTCGGCCCCACTTCAAAAAAATAGCCCTCATCAGGACAAATCTAGGTACGCAGTCCACAATATTTTTGTGTCCAACTTGTTTCCACATTGGACGGATATATTAAGGAAAAAAAAGTTTGCCCTAAGATCGAGTTTGGCCGGTAACATATACATACACATATACACATNGTTGTGTACAACTTGTTTCCACATTGGACGGATATATTTAGGAAAAAAAAGTTTGCCCTAAGATCGAGTTTGGCCGGTAACATATACATACACATATACACATCGTCAATAGACTCGAATAAAGGCGCGCTAGTGTTACGACGGCGAAGAAAGACGCGTAAAAAAAGTTTACGAAAAATGACGCTTAGGAAAACTTCGGCGAAGAAAGACGCGTAACCTAATTGACGGCCAAGAAAGACGCGTAATTATAGATTTATATTAGGCCAAGAATCAGCATATTTTTGGGGAGTTATTATTCTGTTACATCCGCAAACATAGTAGTTGACCGCGAAAATAAGTTTGCTCGTTTTTCTTTGCCGTCAAATATTTTAACGCGTCTTTCTTCGACGTGAACTATGTTAAGAGTCTTTCTTCGCTGATGTTTTTTTATACGCCTCTTTTCGAGGTACACTTTTGAGCTCGCGCCTTTATTCGTGTCTGGTGACGATATATACATCTGAATACTAACGTTTGGGTATGGTTTTGTTGAGCACCTTAAATGACTGTTCCACTAAGTAGAAATATTGGCCACGCTTTCTTTCAAGATTACTGCGATTTCACAACCTCCGAACTACCGTAAATCAAGTTTGACATACATATGTACATATGTATGTCATGACTAACCTCATAGCATTTAATTGGCCACCATGCAAATCAACTTCCGGATACCAATTTTAAAAATTCTATATTGATTGTACTAAAATGCTTGTAAAAGTCTATAAATGTAGCAAACATAATATAAAGAAGTTAATTTTCCGCTTTAACTGTAGTTATAATGTTTTTTTTTCAGAATTACCTTTAATGCGTTAAGTTGTATGCCTCATCTTGCGTATGTCAGCATCAGTAATTATAACATTGCCAAACGACTCAGATTCCTTTGCGGAGGATCCAAATACTGAGGACAGCGGTAATCTTTTAACGGAACTGAATGGAGTCGACTTGGTTATGAGTCTCTCCCCAAAAATATCCCCTACAGCACCAATACAAGCACACCATCAACTGGAGCAACAATTATTAAAGCATAATATTTCGGTGGGACCACCTCCACATGCTGCTTCGGCAGCAGCAACTACAGGGGCTCATCATAATAACTTTTCTAATATTCACCATATGCAAGGTTTACATAATCAGCATCATAGCACCATATTCAATAGCAACCATTCCACGCCATTTAGTGTAACTGACATATTAAGTCCAATTGAAGAATCTTATCGGAAACTGGAGTTAAATTGCAGCCCTCCTTCGCCCTACAGGTAACTGTAACACTGTGATACGAAATTGACGTTCATGTCTCCGTATTTGATACAAGTAATTTTTAGCAAAAAAAAATCCGACTTAAAAAAAATATATATATCTATATATTTCTTGATTAAATTATCGGATCTAAACCAGGATCTCAGAGTACCACCTCTGAGACACTACCTTTCCGTTGCAAAAAGAATTATCGATATCGGTTGACGTGGCCCAAAGTTATGCGTTGTTACATACATAAAAAAAGAAAATATCCCGCGAACAGATAACCTCCTCCTTTTTTGGAAGTCGGTTAAAAACTAAAAGGAAATGAAAGCTTACACTTCCCATTGAAAAATCCCGAAGGGATGTTTAGCCTCTAGATATGGTTTTTTATGCGCATCAAAAGTTGCTGACCCCGTATACAGGAAAAATTGAGTAAAATTCGATCAAATAATGAAGTTTTTCTGGAAATTTATAGTATATTACTCACTAAAACTTACGCTAGGTCGCGCTGTGGTGCAGTCTTTACTTTCTTTTATGGGTTTTTATCGAAAAATAGTATTTTTACTGTTTTTAAGGCTGAGGAATCCATTATTTATGCCAGTTTCATTGTTTTTAAAGTTATGCTAGAAGATCATTGCATTATTTTTGTTAAAGACAGATAGCATTGTCGTGTTAAAATGTGCTTATGTGAAATTTTTTATGAAAAAAATTACATTTTTATAGTGACAAAGACTTTGTTAATTAAAAAATATTTCTTACTTTTTATTTAGACCTAGAAAAATTATGATATGAAAGTACTCAAGAAAAATGGCTAAAAAATTATGTAAAAAACTAACAATTTAGAACTGTATTTTTTCAACCCAACTTAACACTAAACTCATTACTTTTACTTTTGTTTACACGCAGTGCTAACGACAGCAGCAAAAAAAAA